GATTCGCGCAACCACTTCATCAGCCCACCCTAATCCTTTGCTGGCCCGGCAGGATGTTTAATCTTAAAATTAAACATTTATTATTTAGTTGACCTACTTCGGTCATCTAAGCGAACAAACCGCGTCAGCAATAACATAACAAAATACAACCTTCTAACATTAAGATGTTTGTAAAATAAGTATGTAAAATAAAATATCCCATTTGTATATAAGGAAACAATTTTATAATTAAAGTCAGTATTAACAAGACTATTGTGTTTTACTCAACTACCCACTAGTTTCCAAGCCTTAACTGGAGCGTGAGGCTGCGCTCCGCTAGTGGGACATTATTACAAAGATTCGGGATCCTAATTAAGATCCGATTCTTTTCAACGTGAAAGCAATTTTCGTTAACAGAAATTTTATTAAATTTACTAATTATAATTTTAATGCAAATTATTTTTACTGTTTTAGTTTTTTGGAGCAATTTTATGACACATTAAAAGGATTTTATTTTAATTCAATTTTATTAAAGTAGCTTCTGACTTGGATACAATGTTACATTTTATTTATGTTAGACCAGGCTAAGTATTAAAATAAAACGAATTAAAATTACTATTACGAATATAAATGCATTTGTCCTTAAAGATATAGTTTTATACTTTCCTAAATGACATAAAAATTAAAAACATTTTAATTTAAAATACTGATTGAAATGTTGTTCCCGAATAAAATTTAGAACCGCAATATATAGAGTCTAACAATATTTAGAGAATCAGAAAATAACATCGAATTAAAATGAGACTTAATGATCATGTGTACAAAAAATAGCTCGAATTACTTTTATTTTTAAATAAACAAAAATAAACTTCTATTTCCGTTAAGGGAAATTACAATTCCCTTAACGAAAATGTTATTTCCCTTAACGGAAATGCTATTTCCCTTAACAGAAATTACATTTCCCTTAAGAGAAATTAGTGGCGCTATCTGTGGTGAAGATGCCGAAGGTTCCACCGCTTACAGAGTTCTGCCAACTTTGGTTGGGATGCCAGAATCTTTCATTTTGTTTGAATGCAACAAATATGACACAATTAACAATAATGAATAATATTACTACTACAGTTTGCTATTTACTACTTCTTTTCGTTTTAATAACCTTTATTAGAAACGTTAAAACACACCTTACACATGCGGCGTTGCCACACAACATTCGATTCGAATGATGCGATTCCAAAGCTTTGGAATCGCATCATTCGAATCGAATGTTGTGTGGCAACGCCGCATGTGTAAGGTGTGTTTTAACGTTTCTAATAAAGGTTATTAAACCGAATCGCGATGACACCGATCGACTAGTCGATCGGTGTCATCGCGATTCGGTTCGGAGAGTTTGGTTTTCTCGAGTAGTACCCATAATTATTAATATTACTATTATTATAGCATTATCAATACAAATTTTGTGACAATTTTCTGAAAATTCGATAATTTTGTCAATAATTTGTCGATGATTTGTCGATAATTTCACTTTTTACATCTGGCAACACTGGTGGGTGATATTTTGTGGGTGGATGTGAACAGGTGTAACGGTTGGTTTTTAAATTAAAAAGGTAACAATCAAAAAAATTCTTTTTACTAATAAATCTTTTGTAAAATCACAGTGCAATAATTTCATTTTATAGAATTTTGATAAAATTAACTATTTGAACTTCAGCCGTCCTCTCATAGATGGCGCCAATTTCCCTTAACGAAAATGCTATTTCCCTTAAGGGAAATACAATTTCTCTTAACAGAAATTATATTTCCCTTAAGGGAAATTGCATTTCCGTTAACGGAAATGCATTTAAATTCTTAATTATAATAAAAACTACTTTCCTTAACGAAATTTGCATTAAAATTACTATTTGTCATAAAAATAATTTTTATTATTATTTCAAATAAAAATGAAATGTTTTAGTATTTTTATTACAATTTCGAATGTAAATCATCCTCTACATCTAATCTTTTCAATTTAATGTACCCAAAATTTCAATGCTTATTAAAAAAGGAATTTTATTTATAATTTGTAATTAAAATGTAATTTCCCCTAAGGAAAATACATATAATTTCAATTATCTAATGTCTCGAGACATGATCATGGAAATCAAGTCGAATTAAAATGGGACTTGATAGCCATGTGTAATAAAAACTAAAACGGCTTGCCATACTGTCCGGATAGAAAAACAGAACTCAATCTGTCTAGTCCAGCTAAGTAATTTTCCTAATTGCATGACCTAATAACAGTACCAATTCGACTCTAATATAAACTAATCGTTAAATACTTATACATATATGCAAACTTTGCAATGTTGCCAAAAATTTTATTGGGCTCCAGAAATCAAACAGGTCCCTACACTGAGAAAAGTAAACTATTTAATACGACCAATGCGCATATATATTATAATTGTTTATTTAAAATTTTCGAAATGTTACCTACAGTCTTTACATTAAACTTGTACAGTTTTTAAATATACACTTTTATTACTACAAAAATGTACACAGATTTCAATTAAAGCAGTTCAGACAGTAAATTAATGAAAAATCTCTAATATAGCACTCTTGTATAACAACCGATTGTTTGCCTAATATTTCTTTTTATTTGTTTTAAAAACTAATTTTCAATACAAATAGAATAACATTTCCGTAAGTAACAACCACATTTTTCCCAGTGAAGACAACCCATAAACAACTTAACCAAATTGAAAAAGGCGTAAGAATAAATCAAGCAGGACTGACAAAAATCTAGATTTTATAAATAAGCGCTGTGTGTGAATAGGTATATAATATTGTATGTATATGCATTTGAATATAGGCATTACCAGCAGCCCATAAATCAAAGCCAAAATAAACAAAAGCCTAAAAAATAAACAAGAACATCACAGAAGATAAGAAGAACGACCCTCTTAATAGCCAATACCGGCCATATGGCTGTATTCCAATTACGTACACTTCAGGGCCGGCTTTATCTATTTTGTATATTAATATTTATATTTTTAAATTAAATTTGGAAAAAAAAGTAAGAAGGCAACGATAAAAATTAAATGTAAACGGTATAAACACTAATTTAACAATAAAATAAATAAAGAATATAAAAGGTCGGTAGCCGGCGCTCGGAATGAGAAAGTCCCACCAAGGCAGAGGGCACTTACGGCGGGTCGTGGCCGTCAACACTTCAGTACGAAAGACAAGATTCAGTATCTCACAGGGGGGCAAACCATTCTAAAGAGGTTACCAGGAACCGGAAACTGAGCAGAGACTGTTTTATGCTGTGTTTTTTTTGTTTTTATTATAACTTTTATTTTGTTTATTTTAATTTAAAAAAATGTAACAATCATGGTCATGGAAAAAAATATTTACTGGTCATGCAAGTCATGGAAATTGAAATTGCTGGAAACCCTGATATATTACAGTTTTATTTTATTGTATTTTCTTGCAACTTTTTGCATTTTTATAGGTTATTCGGTTTATTCTTGTCTTTGAAAACCTGATTAAAAATTGTAATTTAAAACAGACCTTTTCTGTTAATAAATGGGCCCAAAATGAACAAAGATTCCACCTATCTCTTTTTTTCTATGGATTAATTTGGTAAATACTAAATATTACAAAATATTATTTTGGTTTGTTAAATAAATTTAAACATTTAAGTTTTTTTTCTTTTAAAAATAGATACTTATGCATATTGATAACGATATATGATTTTTGAAAAAATAATTTTAATCTGGTTTTATATTGATTTTGATAACTTTTGTATTGTACACACTACACCTTTTCCAGTTGATATTCAGAAAGTAGAAATTGATATTCAGAAAGCAGCAATTGATTTTCAGATATTGCAAATGAAATTCAGAAAATAGCAAATGTAATTCAGATATTTCAAATGATATTCAGAAAGTAGCTGATGTAATTCAGATATTGCAAATGATATTCAGACAGTAGCAATTGATATTCAGAAATTACAAATAGTATTCAGACAGTAACAATTGTAATTCAGAATATGTCAATTGAAATTCAGAAATTTACAAATGATAACATTTTCCTACTTCATTTTACTTATTTTCTAAAATCTCAATTTAATGTATTTCTTTGTATATTGCTTTGTTTCTATGGAATTGACAATAATAAACAAATTTATCACCATTTACATAAGTATATTTGTCATAAGAGTCAACTTATTGCAAGTAAGGACCGAATTTTGTTCATTTGTACTTTATATAAATTTCATTTACTTAGTTAATAAAGATAACGTGTACTTTCATTCATCATCGATTTGCTGTATGGAACCCACTGTTCCTGAAACAATTGCTGCGGCTAAATTACATTTGATTTAATCTGAAAAACAATTGCTACTTTCTGAATTACAATTGCAAGTTTCTGAAAATCAATTGTGTTATCTGAATTACAATTGCTACTTTCTTAAAATCAATTGTGTTATCTGAATTACATATGCTACTCTCTTAAAATCAATTGGAATAGCTGAATTACAATTCCTACTATCTGAATATCAACTGGAATAACTGAATTACAATTCCTACTTTCTGAATATCAACTGGAAAAGGTGTAGTGTAAAGCTTTACCGTTTATTTAAGCAAATAAAGTATGTTGGTTGTTAAAGATGGGAAAAAAGGTACATTGTATCAATTTAAAGTATTTGTTGTTTTACAATATTAATATTGTAATAATTGTTTTGTTTAAAAACATGTTATATTACTTTTAACAATATTCCACAAATAATTGTCACTTATAAACAGTTCCACAGCATCTTTGCAGTCTAAATGTACATTTGTATTAAGATAAATAAATAAATCATTTTTTGAAATTTAGAGACGCTTAATAATAAATGTTTTTATTAAAAAAAAACAATTATAAAGTTCTTGATAAAATAATTTCCTACACAGTGTGTCGCACCAAGAACTCGAGTACCGTACAGTCTTAGTAAAGAATACGAAAAACATGTGTTTAATTATTATTTCTATTAAACTGGTTATTACCTGGGTGTAGGCATCCAACGGAAGCTCCCCGTGGTTCATGCCGTGCTTCACGACGTCCATTTCTCGCTTAAGCAGAACCTTGGCAACGTCCAAATCCTCGGGCTTATAATTTTCGTATGGATGTTGCTCGAGGAACGCCAGTTGCTGCGCTTGCGATAAGTTTGATCGCTTGGTGGTCGTGGTCGGTATCGGGTTTTTTAGGTTGTCGTAGTGCAGCATGGTGACCATTTCGGTTTTGATTAGTTCCTCGGCCTTCTGGAGGTCCGTTAGAGAGTAGGACTCGTGCGGCGGCCGCAACACTGCCAAGTTAACGTCGTGCGGTCTGGGAAATTCTCTCTGGATGACTTGCGAACGCAGGGCCAATTCGCGTTCTGCCTTCGCTTTTAGTTCTTCTTGGTAACGTTGATCAACGTCTGCTTGATCTTCGACCTGTTAATTATATATTTTCCAGATTTTATACTTTACTTTTACAGATACAGTTTATAGAGGAAAGTATGGCACGCCGTTTTAACATTTATTATTTTTATTTTAATGTGCTTCCAACAGGCACCAGGCCCAATTACAGGAGTACAAACTGACACACAAATAAACAGCCATACCCCTGGTGGGATTCGAACCCACGACCTCTCGGCTTGTAGTCCGCAGTGCTAACTACTACACCACCGAACTGAAAATTGTGGGTGTACATTTATAAATTTAAAATATTTTCAACTCTCGTGTATTGAAAGATAAAATTTACTAACAGTTCACTTTTGTATTGAACAATATTATTTCCAATCAATTTTTGCAAAAATTTTAAGTATAATTTATTTGGGCCGAATTTTGTAAATCCTAAATAAATTATTTGGTTAAAGTTAATTTTTTTAGTATTTAAAAATAGTATCAAGACATTTAAAATAAAAACACATATAAAACAAAAGTTAAATGTTATAAAACTTTTTAAAACAACTGATAATCAAAAAATATTTTAAATATAAGATGCAAATGTAAAAGTTTAAAATATTGGTTTTTAAAAGTTCTAGTTTTAATATTTTATTCTACAAAATTATTGGTTTAAATTTGTAAAGAGTCATTTAAATGATAGTCGATAAATTTTTAATACAAAAATTCTCACATTACATTTAAATTTTAGTTTTAAATTTAAAAGTGGTAATTTTTGGATTAAAAATTTATCGACTATAATTTAAATGACTCTTGAGGAATTTAAACCAAAATCTTTTATTTTGAACAAATTTAAATTGATAGTTGCACTGACTTAAATAAGTTAAGGCGAGTTAAGGTGTAATAGTTATAACAATTATTACAACTTTTTGCAATGCATACGATAGGCTTGACTTGCTTTCATTGTTGCCACTGTACGTTTTATTTTAATAGTTTCGATTTTTTTAGCTGACCAATAAGATTACAGCTGACCGTCATGTGAACGCGTATTCCCGCGTTTTCTAGACTAATCTAGGTCAGTTCTATGTAGGGATTGCAATCTAGGAAGGTTTTTAATCCAGCTGGATTTTTGCTGGATCAACATCAATCCAGCGCGGATCCAGCAATTTATAAATTTTTTAAAGAATGTTTTTTAATACTTTAAACTGTTCTTTCTTTAAGTCTTCTTTTTTTTTATTATTATTATTATTAATTTTATGTTCCGTTAATTTTTAAACTCTCTGTATAATATAGGTTTTTTATGTTTTGTTAAGTTTTAAACTCTCTTTATAATATAGTTTTTTTTTATAAATTAGTTAAAAACTGATTAGCTAGCCATACTATGGTAAATTACTATTATAATTATTCATATTACTATAGTAATATGTAAAGATTACAAAATAATTATTTTTATTATTTTTTACAATAATTATTATTACAAAATTTTTGTTTTTTTGTTCTCAATGTAACTACTGTAATGTTTATAAATAAATTAAAATTAAAATTCAGTCACACAGCAGTGCAAAGAAGACACTTATTTAGCATGAAACTTTATCAAGCGAGATCAAAAATTGCGGTGTAGTGACGTGAGAACCGTAAAGTCGCTCCCGCCGAGCATGTTTGGGCGTTAGCGCACCTAGCAAAGCGGCGGATTCAGCACGCTGAAAAATACTCTGGATCCAGCTGGATTGCTTTATGAGGGATCCAGCATAGGCAATCCCTAGTCTATGGTCAGTATGTACCATGAAAGCAAGTCAAACACACCATACCTATGTGTTGCAAAACATTATCATTTTTATAGTTATTACACCTTATGAAATCAACAAGTGATCTGTATGTACACAAACCAAACATGTTTTATTGTGATAAATTTAAATAAACTGGGCTTATATTGTAAACATTGCTTATGCCTTGTAAAACAGAAAAAAATTTCATTATTAATTTTCTTCATGTTTTCTTTAATAATCAAAATTTGATTTGATGTATTTAATACAAAATCTCTGATGAATTCCAAATATTTATTTTTATCACTAAGACTTTAGACTTTAGACCACTTCTCTGCTGAAAGTTTTATTAAGTCAGAATAAATTTTAATTATCTGACTTAATAAGTCTTATTCTGACTTTATAAGTCTCATGAAGCAGAGCTTTTAAGAGAAAGTAAGACCACAGATTATAAAGGTTAGACTTTCAAAACTCTTATTTTTACTTATAAACTTTTTCTGTTTTTCAGAGAAAAGGGTGGGCTCATAATGACTAGGCTTGTTCTGATTTTGATACTTCTGATTTTTCTCATAGAAGATATACTATTTTTGCCAATAATTACTGCATTTTTGATTTTTGTACAAATCGATAATTTTAAATAATAATGAAAATATTATACCTACTACACATTACCAAATGATTAATACATGTATGACAGATTACAAGAACAATTAAGTGTTTAATTTTTAAAAAGGATTTTTTTTTATTCCAAAAACATATCCACTAATGGATTTTGCGAGTTTGGCTCATAAAATGAAGCTATAAACAATAAACAATTAAAACTTATATTATGCAGTTTAATGTTTTTCATATGTTGTAAAGATGGTATACCACTACTAAATTTCATCTTGGCTTTCTAACCAAAGAGCTAAGAAAAAAATCTTGAACTCGTTGTTGTTGTGACACATGTCAAAAATGATAGGTGACAGATGTCAAAATGATAGCTGACAGGTGTCAAAAATAATCTATAACAGATGTCAAAAATATGAAACGAAAATACGAAACAAAATAAGCTGTCATCTGTTATCCGTCATTATTGACATTTTACGTAGCATTCGTAAATAATTATATTTATTTATAAGTATTAAAAGTGATTTTATTTTGTTTGAAGGGTTGTATCAATCGCTACGCTCGTTATTCAATTTTCCTCCTTACAAAATAAAATGAAACATATTCATCAAAAATAACTATTATCTACTATGCTACATCTGTTATAGCGTATTTTTGACACCTATCACCTGTCATTTTTGACACATGTTACCTGAATCATCATTTTGACATGTGTCACCTGAAAAACGACCTGTTTTTAGTTTCATGAAAGTTCAAGAAATTTTTTCTCAGCTCCTAGGCGGAAAGCCAAGATGAAAAGTCTTTTTCTCTACGACTACTTAAGAATAGTAACATTCTAGTGTAATTTTTGATCATAGAAAGGATGTTTTTCTGAAATACTGTGCGAGAATATTCCTACTCTTGTTTAAGAATGGTCACAAGTAACGACATCTCCTGGCTGTTTACTAAACGTAAAAAATTTAAAAATATTTCAATATTACTGTATTATTTATTAATTAAAAAATAATAGCAGTTGTATAATTAAGGTTTAGGCACAAAAAATTAGTTATATTTATTGTTTTTCAAATATCCAAATCAAAATTAGAATAAATTTGATATTAAAATGATAAACCAGTTACCTACTATACCGGCTTTGAAGTTTTGACAGATTCAAAAAGTTAAAAAAAGACCTTTAAAATGTAGAAAAAGAATAGATGTTGACATAGATTACTTGTAAAATTAGTTTTGTATTTGTTACAATGTTATTTTTTTTATTAGTTAGTGTAAATAACTATTTTTAATTATAATAAAGATTTAGGCATACCATTTGTTTAAATTTATTATAATTTACATTATAAAATTGTGACGGCACAAAATGGTTTGACAATACAAAAAACTTAAATGTCAAAAACTGCTTGGTTTCATCCTCTGTTTAAAATTATATAAGCGTTACTATTCTTACGTAGTCGTAGAGAAAATAATGTCTGAAACACGTTTGGAATAGCATATTCCACTCTCGTAAAACCGTCACACTCGCCTTCGGCTCGTGTGTCAAATTTTTCCTCGAGCGGAATATGCTGTATTCCAAACTTGTTACAGAATGTACTATTCTAGGACTGTATTTTTGCAGTACTCACCATATGCTCCTGAGCATGTTCAGGCATTTTTTCGTCTTCCTGTTCAGGAACAACAATTTCGTAGTCATTTTTCGGTTGTGGTAAACTGCTAAGACCCATTTTTAATTGTTCTTTTAAAGATGTCTGGAACATTCTATTCTTAGCGGGAGTTCCGCCAACTTCAATACCTTCTTCAGCGTTTATGTTGAGCTTATCTCTTACTGAGGGAGTGAAATTGCCTTTAAAAAAGATTTTTATTATTATTAACTATTAAAAAGATGTTATTGCTTTTTACAAAAATATTAATAAGGGAGTGAAGACTTTTAAAAACAATTTTCCCAACGAGTAGTTGAAATTCTTCAAAAATTGTATTTTTGTTGTTTTGGGACTATTTATTGAATAATTAAATTTATTTATAATATACAGAAAACAATTTTCTAAAAATGTTTTAAAATAAAAAGTTAAAAATTGTTAATAATGACAAAGTTATGATGATTTTAAGTCAGATCGCAGCAGATGCGTTGTTTATTTATGTGTGATATAAAGGCTTAAGCTCGTATTACAGTCCGCAATTCTACGTGCAATACTCTTGCATGAAGGACGGCGTATAAAGAAGTTTCGTGCAAGTTTATTGCCGTTTAAAAAAATCGGTCCTGTTGGATTTTTCATTACTAGTACAAGTAAGCCTGAGGAAAATTTAAGTAACTTTTTTATAACAAACTGCTGGTTTGTTTCTTGAAGTAATCTACTATTTTTCTCTAGCGTTTTATGTTGCCTAGACATCCTTGATTATTCAAAACTAAAATTATGTTAAAAATTAGTCTTTAACAAAAAAATTAAAATTTTATTTAAGAATTTTTTACCTTTTCCTATCCTATCTAGGGACACACGGTATGTCGTGTGGAAATTTTAATTCTACGTCATGGTATTTTATAAATATTAATTTCTCTTTAATTGGCATCACGCAAGTTACCATTGGAATTGCAGAAAAATTGCATGCAAGAAAGATTGCTGCAAGAAAAATTTCGGACTGTACGAGGGTTGTCTGAAAAGTTTCCGACCTTAACATGAAGATGGCAGCAGTCGTCAACAAAAGTTGGGGAATATGTTTGCGCATGCTCTGATAGGTACCTACCAAAATTTCAGCCAATTTGGATGCGCAGTTGTTGTTGGCCAATCGTTTGATTGAGTCGATGTGAGTGTTTTCGCGAAAATGGAAAAAATCGAGTATCGATCTGTCATTAAACATTTATTTTTGAAAGGCAAAACACCTACGCAAATTAAAGATGAGTTGAACGCTGTTTACGGGGACTCTGCACCGTCATTTACCACCGTGAAATTTTGGGTAGCTGAATTTAAACGTGGCCGTACCAGCTTGGGACGATAACATCGCTCAAGTTCACCAAATGGTACTAGACGGCCGTCGAATTAAGGTTAGAGAGATAGCAGAGGCTACGAACATGTCCAAAGAACGTGTTTGTCATATATTAAACAAAGAATTTGGCATGAGAAAGCTTTGCGCGCGTTGGGTGCCGCGTTTGCTCACTCCGGAGCAAAAACGTGTTCGAATGGACATTTCCAACGGTCTGTTGGCGCAGTTTAGGTGCAATAAACCAGAGTTTTGGCGGCGACTTATTACAGTAGATGAAACTTGGATACACCAATATACTCCAGAAACCAAAATACAGTCAAAACAGTGGAGGGGGAATCGGGTCCAAAAAAGGCAAAGGCTGTTCCTTCGGCCGGGAAAGTGATGGAGACTGTTTTCTGAGATAGTCATGGAATTGTCTTAATTGATTATCTTGAAAAAGGAAAAACCATTACTGGTGCATACTACGCATCATTACTTGATAAGCTGAAGGCAGAAATTGCGGACAAACGGCCACATTTACAGCGAAAAAAAATTTTGTTTCACCAAGACAATGCGCCGTCTCACACCTCAGCGGTTGTTAGGGCGAAAATTCTTAATTGCGGTTTGAACTGCTTGACCACCCTCCTTACTCACCAGATCTAGCTCCAAGCGACTTTTTTTGTTCCCTAGAGTAAAAGTTTGGAGGACAAAGATTTTCAACGAATGAGGAGGCCATAACGTTTGTAAACAACTACTTTGCAGAGAAAGACGCCAACTACTATTTGGACGGGTTGAAGAGATGGGAGCATCGCTGGGAGAAGTGTATAGACTTACAAGGAGATTATGTTCACTATTTCCCTCGTCTTAATGGGGTAGTTAAATTTTTTCTGACCTATACTTTTTATGGTTTTATTCAAGGCGTTTTGTAATTTTAAACATTTCTGTGAAATCGGAATTTCAATTGAGTTTACCGTTTTCGAGATATTTACAAACAAAAATCTACTAATTACGTCACTAGGCTATTGACAACGTTGCCAGCTTTTTCTATGATTGCCAGTGTGTTTAGTTTAAGATTCTTACGATAGATGGCGCCACGTTATAATATTTTAGTTTTAAAACCACTTGATCTATAATTTTAGTTGAGAAGAAGAAGAATTGATTTTTTGACGTTTATTTTTTTCGGGTTATGTTTTTTTTTTAATTTAGATTATTGAAAATCAATGTTATTGTTATGTTATTTGTAATTGATATTAGATAAGTGATTTATTAATAACGGACTCTAAAGTAGAGAAATCTTGTGGAATGGTTGGTTACATTGAACATTGGAGCTTTTAAACAAATAAAGTAAGTACCTATAATTATAATCATATTTTGTCGTAAATGCATTTCATTAGTATAATGCCTAGTTCTTTGTATTCTTTTAGATATATCTTAGACTCTAAAATATCAAACAGTAATATGATACCTCGTAATAAGGAAGATAGGTACTGTAACGTTTTTAACTGTTCGTAGTGTGAATTAAAACACGCACTGGTTAATTAACGAACTAAACTATTTATTTAATAACTTAACTACACTTAAAACACTATAAAACTAACTAAACACTTAACTACTAATTATTTATATATCACTATTGTTCAAGAGTCTATTTATTTGCACTTAGGTATATTTATTTATTTCGCCGCGAGTACCAAATCTTAACTGACTGCCCTGTGTTGCTCCGTTTCTTATATATTTAGCGCCAAGGTCTTCTGGAACATTCCAGCGAGCTCCACACTCTCGATTATTCGAGCGCTGAGTCACCGGCGATGACTCACCGGCAATGACTAATCGGCGATGAGTCATCACTCCGATATCCAGGGCGGTACTCGCTACAGTACTTAATGAATTTGGTGACCATCTTTCACTCAACCACAGTCTTATATACAGGTCTTGCAACTTCGCCCAATTTCAATAGGAAAAGTGACCTCTCTAATGAGACACCCACCAGATGGCGCATCGAGTTGAGGGTGAACCATAGATGTTTAAAGGTCGTTTTTACCTTCTTTATCTTTGGGTTTTACATTCGTTAGATAAGCTCTCTGGTGGATAATTTTCTTAGATAGAAGGTTTCTATGAAAGTTATCCGCCAAATAAGCTAACTTAATCTAACGATTGTAAAACCGGCTCTAAGTCCTTAAAGTCTATGGGATAAAGGTCAAATGAACTACCTACTTATGTTCTGTGAAGAAACATAACCTACATTTTTATAAACAAGCTTGTGTATTTTGTTACAGGGAGTTTTTACTTATTGTTATTGTGATATTCGTTATTGTTATATTATATTGTTCTATTTTTTCTTGTTATATTTGTTCTTGTTATACATTTGTATTTGTGCTTTTTAATAGACATGAAGTCCTGTGTTGTGCCAAAATGTAACCAGCAAAGCTATCGTTCCGGCATTAAAATTAAGCGGTCCATGTTTAAAGTGCTAACAAATAAGGAGCGGTTCAAAACATGGCAATGTGCAATAAAAAACATATTATTGACACCTTCATATTTTGTATGATTATTATATAATTAAGCACATCGTGTTGGTGAAATATATATTATTTTAAATAAACAATCAACCCATCCCCGCCAAGACAATAAAAAAATCGGTTATTAATAAATTAGCCAGAATATTGGTTGGTTAGTTTGTTGTGTTACTAGAAATTTTGGTTTTCATATTAGCCAAATTGAATTGGATAGTTTACAAATTATCCAGCCATTCCTAAATAATTTCAAGTAAATTAGCCAAGACCCTTAGTTGGTTTACAAACTAGCCGCTAATTTAGTTAAAAATACGTTTTCAATTAAAATAGCTGACAGTTTGGCTAGTTTATAAACTACCCAGCTACTTAATAAACTATCCATGTTTACACATTAGCCGTAACATATATATGATATACGTATGTATTTTATACATTAACATGTTTGGTCTGGGCATGTGACGGCCGAGGACTTTGTGCATAGAGTATAGACTTTGTTGTCCTATTTTGTTAACGTAAATTATCCGAAACAAACTCACAAATATTAAATTTTTGAAAATGTAAACAAAACATAGAAAAAGAATTTAAAAAGTTAGGTTATGGTTATGCAGTAGTTCCACATTTAACTAAGTAGTAGTTTAATTGACTTTACCCCTTCGATCTTAGCGCCACCTAGCGGCTTGCCACGTTAAGGAAGCCACCTCGAAGCTTAAAGTTGCAAGACCTGTATATAAGACCGTGCACTCAACTGACAGTGACAGTATTTGTACATAACCATTAACAAGACAACTTGACAACAGGGTAATTTTCAACCAATAGAAAACTTAGAATGTTGGTCACATGGCGAGGTTTGTGACGTCATAAAAATTTATATTTTTTGTAAATATCTCGAAAACGGTATACTCAATTGAAATTCTGATTTTACAGAAATGTTTAATATTACAAAACGCCTTGAATAAAACCATAAAAAGTATAGGTCAGAAAAAATTTAACTACCCCATTCCCACCAATCACAAACGCGCAATTTTGAATTACAAATAGTTTCTAGGTGAAAAAACTGTGTGACAACACCTGTCAGCAGTTTTTTCGAGTTTACCAGCTGCTGTCACCAAAAATTGCAATTTATATTTTAATTGTTAACTGTTACTCATGAAATAGTCTTGTCAAATACCATTCGGGCATCTAATTTTTCCTGTGAAAAAAATCGAAAAAACACAATGCTAAGTAATATTTTTTAACAAAATGCATTCGTGCAGGTGCAAAAATCCTCCTCTTCGACTCGGATTTTTGTTGCCACCAGCACTCATGCTTTTTGTTAAAATATTACTTAGCAACGTGTTTTTTCGATTTTTTTCGAAATAATTAGATGCCCTTATGATATTACTTACGAAAAATAAAAAAAAATTTGAAGAAAAAATGTCTTGTTTCTTTCTTAGGTCGGAAACTTTTCAGACCACCCTCGTAATACGGGTTTTGGGAAAACACTGTTTTCAAAACAGCATTGCCGAGTTTTTTTAAACGCCCGGCGCTTCTTAAAATTCATGATTAGAACACTTGAAGTAATAATAAAGACATTTTACACACATTTTATCGATGACTTTCTGCCAAAGTATAACTCAAATTTCGGGACAGACTTTAAAACAAAAAATGTTTTCAATTCCCGAAATTTGAAAGGGAATGTTGCTCCTGTTGGGTTGTCTCTGTTTCGGTTTTTCCTTAAAATGCTGTGCCAAGTCAAAAGAGTTCACCAAAATTAGTAAGAATTGGTACTATACTCTTAAAATGTAAAAATGGATTTTTCGGTTTTTGCATGTTTGCTCCACATTTAAAACACAAAAAACCCTTAAAATAACCTTTCAACTAAACCAACATGTTCAATAGAAGTCCAGAAATTAAGGTTTTATAAGCGTTGGAACGTTACACGTTTTCAAAAGCCCCATTTAAAATTGTTACAACATTCCACGAAATTTTAGCTCTTCTAAGCAATAATTTTTATTGAGTTTTTTATTTTGTTTTCAAGGGTTTAAGAGATAAAAGGGTAGGTCATACATAAAGAAAAAAAAAGAAGATAAACTTTTAAAAATAAATATACAGTGGTGGTAATGTATGAGGCGCCGTTTGGGCCAATATAAAATTTTGTGTTTATATATAAATTTTTATCTTTAATTAAAAATATTCTTGAAATATAAAAGATTTTAATTGTGTAAAATAAGTTCGCTTGTGATTGATTTATTTTAAAGCCTCCACAATATACTGTGTGCAGTGAGGGCTTCACTTTTTATGTTCGTAAACGTTTTTGAAATAATTGTCATTTAACATTTCCCGATATTTATTTTATTAAACTTAACATTTATTGATACTTAAATTATTTGTTTTATAAAACAAATAATTTAAGATTGCCTAAAAGATATTTAGGTAGCACCAACATTAGAAAAGTACACAATTACGTTTCAAAGCACATTAATTATGCATTAAATGCAAATTATCACTGATATTTTGTTTTTTTATGGCATTTTCAATAAAAGACCTTACAATGGACATACATGAATTTTCCCTTTATTTCCTCAAAAAATTAGAATTTTTCATTAATTATTAATGATTTTATAAAATTATTCCGTTTTAAAGCAAAAATCCTCTATATGAAAAACTGTAAGTAATATCAAGTGAAGTAAAAAAGACCTTAGGATGGATGACTGGAAATTAGTTTAAAAACGTTTTATATTTAAATAAGTACTGTATCGAAAATTTCACATTATATTATAATTTTAACATGTGAGGCCCGGCCTCAGTTGCTTTATATGACGAGCCGCCACTGCCATGGACATATCTACTGTAATACAGAAACTGTATATTTCCGAGTCTTCTGTGATTTGAAGCTGGCAACCCTAGATGGACCAGAGAATTTTGGTAAATTGTGTTTGGTATAGATGTAGATATAGACTCGCTACATCGACTTTAAACATAATCGAACCCTATTGTCAATTAAAAAAGTAACTCATTGTCAACAAAATAAAACATTTAATTTTATCCAGTAGATCCTGAAAAAACGGGATAAATTTGATGAAAAACTTGAAATCTTAAAAAAATGCATCAATCAAGAAATAATTTTGCATTTCTTAACAAAGCCAGAGCACTTTATTATAAACCACTATTGGTTTATAATAGTGTGTATAAAGTGTCTTTATTATTAGTTCAAGTGGCCTAATTGTGAATTATGTAGAACCTTAGACAATGAATATGTATCTGACAATACCACTGGACGTTTTCGAGAAGCTTGGGCGGGTAAACCTTCTGAACCCCCTTAATACCTTGTCGAAAAAAAATTGTAATTTTTGTTAATTAAAATATTCTCTCTCACAGCGTGGTATACCGTTAGTGCGCCAGTTTTTGTGCACCCTGGCAAGGTAATAATTACCTGGTATGGTTCCCCCAACAGGTACCACGGCTCCGCTCTTTGGCGTCATGAAGCCTGTACTTCCGGGAGTGGCACCACCGTCGCTTCTCGTCGACCGGAAGGGCGTGGCCAGGACTGTGTTGGGCGTGGCAACGGCCAGAGCTTGAGGTAATGAACCACTAAAATCGGGGTTGTGAAGGGGGGTGTTTAGACCACCTTTTAGTGGAGTGTCTACGTGAGTAAGCGCCATCATGTTCTGGGCTTCTTGAAGAATTCTAAACAGATATTAAAGTTTAAGATGGAAATCGAAAAGTTTCCAGTCGGGAATTTATTTTCATTTAGAAAGTTTCTTTTAAAGTTACCGGAAACTTTCCCTGTTTTGCGAAGTTAAGGCCAAGAAACTAAATAAGTAGAAGTTAATTTGTGTTAATTTAGAGAAGAAGTTTGTGAAAGATCTGATCATTACAATTCATAAATTGTTTGCAAAAAACCCTTTGCATAAAAGCCTTTTAAATTGTAAACAAAATAAAAACAATAAACAAACTTAACCCTGCTTAAAATACCCCATAGAGACCCTGTTCAAACCAATAGATATTTGTATCGGAATGTATGGTGTTTCTATAGGGTGTATCGGTATGTATAGGACCCCTAATTGGGATTTATGGTTGTTCTATAGGGATATCCACCCTTGATTTATTTGCTATTGGTTTCAATGGGGAAATTAGTTTTTCCCCCATAGGACCCCATAGGTTTTAATAAAATTTTGTCAAATGTTTTATGGTTGTACTATAGGGATATCCCTATATATCCTTCATTGAGTTATTTGCTATCGGTCTCAATAGGGAAAATGTAAAAGTTATGGTGTGCCTATAGGTAATTTCCTATACAATATCTATCGGGCCGTATCCGGAAAAAACCATGGATGCACATATTGAATCCGGTAGGGCCCGATAGATTACTTTGAATAGGTCTCTATGGGGTATTTTAAGCAGGGAAAATCATTCTAACGTTTTTGTTGTATATTGTTAGGTGTAGTACAATGCCAAGAGAAAAATCTATTTGGAATTATTACAAAATAGTGCAAAAAAAGACCATGCTCAGTAGGGTGGAAGTTTTTTTGCCAAAATTTTTTTTTTAAATCAACCCCTTCAGGTGCCCCAACCCCCAAAAAAAATTTTTTTTTGGAAAAAATATTCGATAGGGCCCTATGTGTAAACTCTCCTTGAATGTTTAAAAAGTGGGTGTTCAGATTTTTTGACTTGGTTCTACCTTATAGATATGTAACGTATCGTACTATCGTCAATAAATCTATTATTTTTTTAATTTGTTTAAATTCCAGCTAAAAGTGTATTATCTACATAAAATAGGATTTCATATTTTTCTGTTAGGTCTTTGGGGCACCTCCGAAAATGTTCCGAGAGCCTCCAATTTCCATTCAAGGAGAGTTTACACATAGGGCCGTATCGTAAATTTTTTTTTGGGGGTTGGGGCACCTGAAGGGGTTTATTAAAAAAAATTTTTTGGCAAAAAAACTTACTTTTATGAATGGCAACTTTTGCCACCCGGGCCATTATCAAATTCGAAAAAAAGTTTTTTTTGATCCACCCTAATGCTCAGGGTTCCCAGCATTGTTTTGTACTTTTTTTATGCTTTTTTGACAAATTTTTCAAATTTTATGACACTTTTTATGACAAGAATTTATTATTTCTAAAGTTATTTTAATACAAAATATGTTCTTTTTTAACGGTTTAAAAATAAATATTTTTTCTCGCATCAAAATAAATGTTTTTTCTCGCATCAAAATAAATATTTCTTCTATTATATTTTTAATATTTGTTACTTTATATCTTAATATATATATTATAATAGGTATTATAATCTTAAAATAAATAAAACTACATCTCAAAATAAATAAAACAACATACTATTTTTTTTTTGCTTTTTCGATAATTTCTTATTTCCTTCAGAAATAAGATTTCTTGCTATTTTTAACTCTGCAGCCTTACTTGCCAAACTACTATCAATTTCTTCAAGTCCTTCTTTGTGTTTGCGCTTTCTGCCTTCCTTTTATAAAGTAACAAATAACTTTACCATTCTCATTATTTATTTCAAATTTTGAAATTTAAAATTTATTTCCTAACCTTAACCTAACCTTTTTATTTGCATACGACTGTAGGTAGCCAATATTATTTATTTTTGCAATCCTCCTGACAAAAAAACCCATTTTCGCAATAATTTTTTTTTTTTTTATACTTTCGGAAAGTTTCGGGAATTTTCGTTGGAATGTTTCCAGGAATTTTGGATGGAAAGTTTCCGGGAAATTTCGTCAAAAGGAAAATTTTCCATCTCTAATTAAAATAGTTTATCGAGCAAAATTTTCTTAGATTTAATTCCTCTCAATAAAATAATAATACAAATATGATTAAACCCCACAACCAGTAATAAGCCAACCTTTTAACGTTTTTTACCTGTCTGTCTGTGGGGCTGGTGTCCTTGGAGTAGCTGCAGCTTGTGGGGTTACTGTGTAGTCGTTTAATAGGGCATCTGTGGTTTCCACGCCACTTTCGGCAGCTACCTCTTTTGCGACCTCGCTAGCACGACCCAATTTGACCACTTGGTGCAGTTCCTGGTCGGAAATTTGCGGTTCGGGTAAAACTAATTTCGACCTTTTCTTGGCGGGTTCTTGATTTTGTAACATAGCCTGCGGGATGTCGTTTTCTTTTCTCTGTTTAAGTTTTGCCTTGTCCTTTTTACGTTCTCTCTAAAAAAATAATTAAAAAACATGTCAAAAAGGGACTGTCTCGCCAGAGTTAACATGATCATTTGTAGAGATCTTGCGAAACCGAACGAATATTCTGCCGACCGACCAAGCGGCAATTAGACAAAATTGTGTTTATATACCGCAATATGATAACTTATTTATTAATTGCCACATGCGTCGTTTATGATAATAAAAGTAGTGTCTGGTTGTATTGTTTTGATTTTATATTTGAACCATGCACTCTTCTCTGAGTGCATTTTTTTATTACATTGAACCTTATTATTTAAATTATTAAATATCACATAGTCCTAAAAAAAGGTAAAATAGAAGGCCTAATTGTATATTTAAGTACCAGATTGTATCCACATTTGTTATCTAACCCTTTATTTGTCTATCCATTCAAAAATTCCACGCTTTGCCACTGCTTAGTATTTTACATAAAATTTCAAAAATATTAAATGCTAAAACAAATTTTCTGTCTTTTCCCGATCATTTGTCAAATTTCCCTGACCAACCATGATCATAAGAGTGGGTTGAATATCCGCTTTTTTGAAATTAATTTTGTAATAACAAAAATATTAATCTTTAAGGTAAAAAAATTATATACAAAAAGAAAATTTTTTCGGTCAACATCTTAGGCTCGTCAAATGCACTTAAAACTAAAAGTAATAAAAGTAAAAATAGTTATTTATGTACCAAGGCAGTAAAGTCGTATTTTTTATCACGAATGTGGAAATTATTTGCCGAGGCGAAAGCCACGTGAGTGATAAAAAATGCCGAGGTGCATATTAAATTTTATCCGAAATCATATTTAATAATACTAATAATTAATATTGATGATCAAATCAAATGTAATTTAAATGTAGGAAGTGTCTACGTATACTGTTTGTTGCGACGGCTATGATATATTTGACCGCCGCGGTGATTTTTTAATCTAATAAAATTAACTTATTATTTTTATTAAACATTTTATGAAAGGGTCCAATCGACCTTCGCGACGGTGTTTTTTTTTAATATTATTTAGTTGCTGCTGAAGAGCAGTAGACACAATAAAATGTATAATGTGTTGCATACAATACTCGTATTAAATCGGCAGTAAAGTTCTACTTTACTGTAGATTGTTGACTACTTTACTGCCGATTTCGGATAAAATAATTTTTTTTTGTATTTTTTTTATGACAATTAAATTTACTAACAAACATAATTAAAAAAAAATTGGCAGCAAGATGTCAACCTAACATTTTTTTCTTTTGCCTCAAATATTAATATTTTTGCTATTGAGCAATCAATGTTACTCGGCAATTTTTGTTGCGTCCGTAGTAATAAAAAATTGTGAGTAAATGCTCCCGAAATTAAATTAAATACTAGCAAGATGTCAACCTAACATTTTTTTCTTTTGCCTCAAATATTAATATTTTTGCTATTGAGCAATCAATGTTACTCGGCAATTTTTGTTGCGTCCGTAGTAATAAAAAATTGTGAGTAAATGCTCCCGAAATTAAATTAAATACTATTGCAAGCACAGACCTACAAACAAGTTTGTAGGTCTGTGATTGCAAGCATGTTTATTATGCTTGTTATAATTAAACTTTAGCTCATATAATATATTATGCTTATAAGCATATTAATTACGTTAGTTTTTAATCACAATTTTTTATTATAACGGACGCGACAAAAATTGCCGAGTAACGTAAAATTGCTCTATTACCAAATTCATTTCGGAAAAAGCGGACCATTGGGTATTGAGTTAAGGGGCCCGTCATGTTTGGGGGCCCGAGCTCGATCCATTTCTTAACTCAACAGCATATTTACCATCCGTAAATTTAAGTAGCAACCCAGATCACAAATTAAAAAATATTGGGTTGCCTATCAAATATTGCCAATAGTTAACAGCATATTTACTATTTAAATTTGCTGTTAACTCAACTGGCGATATTTGAAACCTTTGACCCTTCTGCCGTATTCAACTCGCTTTTTCTACTGGGGTTTTGTGTGCCAGGCGCCACTAGGTCAACAAATCGGATGCTGAGAAGAAAAGATTTGGCTTGAGAGAACAGAAATTTATGTTGGACGCAGGACAATAACACAATTTTTTAGTGGAACTGAAATTTTGCCAACTCTCAAGTCTCTGAATAATGTACACAAAAAACTTGAAGGTTGTATTCTTTTAGCCTGTTTTTTAATGGGGTGTGTATAGGGCCTGAACAATAAATTAGAGATGGGAATTGGAAAGTTTCCATTTTAAGGAAACTTTCCGTTTTGGAAAGTTTCCAATTGGGAATTTATTTTCATTTTGAAAGTTTCTTTTTAGCTACCGGAAACATTCCTTGGAACATTGTTTTTTTCATTTAAATGTCAATTGTTTAACCGCTGATTTTCGTTAAGGCCATGATACAAGGCCAAGAAACTTTGAATAAAATTTAATGTGTGTTAATTTAAAGCAGAAGAAGAAGTATAAATAATGTAAGTTATGTTTCATAACCTCAATGAAGCCAGCATCATCACAAAAAACTTTTTTAAAAAAAGGTAAACAAAATAAAAACAATAAACAAAGTTAAAATCATTCTTACATTTTTGTTGTTTATTTATAGGCATAGCATAATGCCAAGAGAAAAATCTAGTGTTTGGAATTATTTTTTACTTTACTTTTTACTTTTCAATATTCCTATAGGTATATTAGTTACTTTGTCCCTTTTAATTTTTTTTACGTAATATCTAGGGTTTACTAGCAGTGAATTTCTAATAGTAAACATTTTATTTTTATTTTGTAGGTTTCAGTATACAATAGGAATATTCCAAAGTAAAAGATACTAAAAATAGTATTGCAGTTACATTCTTATAAAAAATTTTTTTTTTCCTAATAAAATTTGACAAAAAGTTAATGCAAATCCCTGGCATAAAAAAAAATATTTTCGCAATAAAAAAATTTTTTTTGAAACTTTCGGAAAATTTCGGGAATTTTCGATGGAAAGTTTCCGGGAATTTTCGTCAAATGGGAATTTTCCCATCTCTACAATAAATTAGTTATGGGGCCCGAATTTGGGTGTGGGGGGTCTGTCTGCCATGTATGAGTATGAGTATAAGAGATGTTTAACCGGCCCCATTGCCTCATCGCTCCCGGGCCCCGCATAGGCCTCTGTTTCCCTGCGCCGATTTTCTCTCGCCACCGGCAACGGCACGGCTTCACCCGTGTCTGCTGGTTGCGAATGTCCATTGCGTCCAGTACTGTCCCCTAATTAGGCAACAGAGAGCGAAATGCCAATAGTTTTAGTAGCCATTCCCGGGTTCTCCGAGCCGATGCTATAGTAAATTTAAAAGTAAACTACGTACATGTCATCAATCAGCTGATCGGGCACGGTTGTCAATGTGATGCTAAAATCCTTGCATCAAGGGAAAGTGGTAGTGCAACTACAGGGCGATAGATGGCGTTTACATGAATAATACCAAAATGTCAAAAGTCTGAGTTTTTATAACCTATATGATGCACCGCCAAAAGTATGTTTTTAGCCATTTTTAAAGACATTTTCTGATATAAAACCCAAACATTTTGCCATCTAAAGTCAGTCTCTGGTATATATATTATTATTTCATGTATCAAACATATATTTTGTTAAATATTCTATTAATTAATAATAATCCTATTTACCTCTCTAACAGCTGTTAAAGGTAACAAAGGTCCATTATTATCCCGTTCTGCCTCAAAATAGCGTATTAAGGATGACACCAACTCTTGACTCCGACTATTTAAATGCTTCGGCATTTTAAATATAGGAAACACAAAAAAACGATATATAACAAACACAAAAACGGCAATGAAAACTTAAACGATATAAAATAACACAAACAACAAACAAAATAAACGAAATAATACACGAATTAAACGAAATATTCAAAAACACAACTGACAGCTTCGAAATTCTAAAACGTCAAATTCTTTTTTATGTCATTTAAATATGAAAAATTTGAATGTAAACATGACAACATCACAATTGTTGCCAACTTAATTTGGTTAAAATGCATTCAAATATTCAATTACAGACTTCGATTTAGTCATTTAGTGTTGGTACCAATGCGTAAAATTTTTGTTTTATTAGCTGGCCATACACAGACGTTATTGCGCGCGGTTTATCGTGTTATCTGCAAAAACATATGGAAAATCATGTACGTGAGTGAGTATCGCCGCGCGAAATGATAGAACGGGAAGGGATTTCAGACGTGCTTTTCTCTGGAGTGTGGCGTGTCCACACGCCACATTCCGCTTCACGGTTTACCTTTGCTTGGCAAAATTTCACGTTGAAAATTTGTACACGATCACATGCAGTTTCAAACGACTCGATAAATGACACTTTTTGCCCACTCACATACGATTTTTCCTTTAAAACTGATATACCACGGGCAATCACTTGCTAAATCATTTGAATACTTTATCAAGTGTATGGAACATGACGCTTTTTTTGCCATGCCGTTCTTTCGTGCATACTAACCGCTACATCCCAAAACGCCACGATAAACCGCGCAAAATAACGCCTGTGTATGGCCAGCTATTGATGACGTGTACGTAGTTTACTTTTAAATTTACTATATACGCCCAGTAGGGTCATGAAGGAGGTAGGACGGGAGGGATAGATATTTTGGTGTTTGGGGGACAGTTACGCCGACTCAAGTCTAAGTACGACGCGGTACCCCCCTAGACCAGGCAGTTAGTATTACTCCAAACATTTGGGATAACTGTATGGAGTTCGGGAGTTGCTATTTTGCTGCAGGAGCCTACGTCTTGGTCTACGTTTTTGTCGTTATTGTTTGTGTCCTTGTCCAAGTAGGATTGTTCCTGCACATGTGTCTTCAGTCTTGAGGCCGAAAACAATCAATAGATAGTTAGGTAGTTGGATAATATCCATATACATATTATGTAACTTGTAGCTTTGATGTTTTTTTAAATTGTTTATTGCCGCAGTAGCAAAGTAACAATTTTTTAGTTATTGTGTTGCCCAAGCACGTTT